ATCCTTGAAACTGATCCGCCGAAGATTGATCATTGATTGACCATTAAGTCTGCCGTATATTACTCTCTAGTATTAGAAAACCGTTTATAATAAATATGAATTTTATTTACTATATATTTAATCGCTTGTAATTTGTTTTTAGTTTTAACAATACTGTAGTACTGTTTAGATGTTTTACAATTAATCCGAGAGATTGTTTTGGGAATTATTAGCAAATTATTAAAAATAATAAATTTACTATTTATTAGTTATAAAATAAATTATATTTGTTTTAATGGAGTGATCCATAATATTAATTACAACATTGGATTTAAATAAAAATGATCAAGTATAATTAGAAAAAGTTGTGTTTTTATTAGTCCTCTTATTGTTTTTAATTATAATTTATAAATATTTCGCAACTAGAAATTATTATGGACAATTCCTGAGTTTTTGTTAATAATTGTTACATCTAGATTCTAACATTAAGTAATGAATACTATTAATAATAATTATTATTACTAAATACAAACGTGCAGGTGCTTTGAATGTCCGGCTTTTATTGAGTTGAATGAACAATTGTTTAGTCGATAAATACAGGGAGCTTTCCATCTCTGGTCAGTCCTTACATGTCCACCATTTCTGCCCTCAAACTATTCAAATAACATACCATTGAGAGAGAGAGAGAGAGAGAGAGATTGGCGGACATTTGTTTTATCTGTTCCAACAGTTGATCCCTTTCTGTCTTTAGATCTTCGACCACTTTATTTGCCGTTTTATTCAATTGATCACTCAATGGTATGTTATTTGAATAGTTTGAGGGCAGAAATGGTGGACATGTAAGGACTGACCAGAGAGAGAGAGAGAGAGACTGTCTTACGTGTTGTGTTTTGTAGATAATATAGTAGAGGAAACCAAACTTCAATTGAATCCAAAATCCGGGCTCAAAGATGAAGATGGCCTGAGTGTCGAAGCGGTCCACTACTGAACAATGCCATCGTTTGCCACACTTTTGGTCCAACTTTTTTGAGATCTTCGCGCAAATCACGGAAAGGGATGTCTTCTCTATTATATCATTGCTTACGATTGACAACACCTTTTCGGTCATCTCTTCGGACATCATATTCTCGATTATCTTTAAGCCGTTTGCCGTCAAATCCGGCTCTTCTTCCTCTTCGTAGTCCTCAAACTCCTATTGATTTCATTATAAAATAATTAATTAATAAGATTAATATAAATTATACCTAAACTAGTTACTTTTAATTAAACAATTAAGATAATTAATATTTAACTAATATCATTGTATAAGTAACTTAATATGGTATAAATAACTGACCGGTAATGTTGTTTGGTTTAAGGATTCAGTCGTAAATTTTTCCTAAAATGAAAATATTAATAATTAATTCAATGATCATATGATAAAAATGATTTAGTAATAATAATCACTATTAAGCTGTTCCTAATGCGGAGCTCTCTGTCCTTCAGATACTCTATTTGTCTCAAAAGTACCGCTTTATCCGACTTTAAGGCAATGTTTTCATTGATTAGTTGTTTGTATTGTTTGACGTCAACCACAATATCATTAGCTATTCTTCGTCTGCCATTGTTTATCACAATTTGATTATCATTTACATAATCCGTATATTTTGTATCATTGAAGCGACAGTTGGCTGTGTGTTGAGGCAACTCATCCAAAGTGACCACAGAATCGCATCCATTATCTTTGAATTCACAATCAATTTTCAAATCCAATAACATATTCATCACAATTCTGTTGAATACAAAACATTCAATACATTTAATCACAACATATCTGTCATACCGTGGAGTCCGGCATAACTGCGCGCTGGAGAGCGGGTGCCTATCGTAAGGACACGTATCGCTGGACTCGAGCCACGTGTCGATACAGTTGTGGCAAAACATCTGTAGACAACACGGAGTCATCAATGGGTCGCACAGTATGTCCCGACAGATACCGCACGACAGCTCATCCAACGTTGAATCGCTGGTTGAGGCAAACCTTTCCCTATCATAACCGGCCATAATTACGTGTGCATTAGATGTGCATGGTCATATTCGTAATTATATTAAATAATTAAATAGTAACTGTATTTATAATGAAATAATTGTATAGCTTTTATAGTCGCTAAACAAAAATGGTTTGAAAACAGCAATAAATTTGATAACAAAGAGAAAATTTTATTTAATAAATAAAATCATATAAAACTTTTGTGGGAATGAACTAAACATTAATTAAAGTTTTAATACTCTATTCCTGTTATAGAGATATGAAATATTAGTTGTTACTCACAAATAGTTCACATCGCGTGATAAATACTGTTTATTATATTTAATTATTTTATAACTTTGTGTTGTTTTGCCTAAAATTGTGAGATAAATGATTTTTAAACGATTATAATTAAAATAAAGGTAACATAGGTTACAGTGGATGTTAACCTGTGTTTAGTTAAAAAGTTATAATTATTTAATGTTATTGACAATTTATTAAATTTAATAAATTTTAATAATTAAAACAAAAACATAATGTTTTTAAAATTGCATACTAACTTATATCAAACAAATTTTACTAATAATTATTTGTATTTTATTGAATAATAATTAAACATTTCTTTTAAATCATAAATTATTTCTTCGATTGTTTTTCCTTTGGTTTCGGGAACTTTTTTGTATATAATTATCCATAAAATTAGTGTAAAGATTGCAAATACTTTTGTTTGCAAAATATATGTTTGCAAATCGGTCTGAATTGAGAGAAAACAAAACCATACGATAAGAAGGACTAAATATAAAGTGACGACAGAAGCGGAAGCGCCGACAGCTCTGGAATCGGTTCGGAATAACTCAACGAAAAATAAATTCGGTATAAAATATGGTCCACAGGAATACAGAATGATATACAGGAATAAAGTGATTAGATTTAAATGATTGACGGCTTCGACACTCTCTTTCAGAGCCAAACAGAAGGACAGGAATACGAGAGCGCAGAACATTCCTAACAGACCTATCAATAGTAGAGTTCTTCGACCGAGTCTTTCGACTAAAAACATAAATATTAGGGATGTCTTGAAGGAGACGACTAGCAATGCGATCGACAGATATTGACTCTTCTCTGAAATACCGATTTTGTTATAAATAGATTCGGCGAAGATTTGGACACCAGATATGGCGGTCAAGTGTTTACTCATTGCCACCGCTATTGATATGAATAAAGCGTTTCTGAAGTTGTAGTCATTCCAGATGTAGTAATAGTCAAGTCGAGTGTTTCGTTCAATCGCTTGATATTCGACTTTCAATTCGTATAACTCGTCGTTCACTTCAGAGCTCTCTCTCTCTCTCTCTCTCTCAGCTTTTGTAACGCGTTTTGAGCCCTCGTTTGATCGCCTCTTAGTATATATGAATATTTGGGAGATTCCGGACACTCGTTGATAACGAAGAACATCAAAATCGATGGTATGATTACCGATGAGAACATATAAATCCAATTCTCAAAATTAAAGTAAAAGATGGCAATATGTGTGACAAGAATGGCAAAACTGGTGCTCACGACATACACGGAGCCCATTATTCCTCTGATGTTTATCGGCGATACTTCTGTCAGATAAATGGGTGCCAAACAGGTGTTGACTCCGGTATTGATTCCCAACAAAATCTGTCCAATGATTACCATTTCGTATGAATTAAATCTTGCGCTGAAAGAGATGAAGAATAGGGCGACAAAAACGAGACCATTATTCCAAATAAGACTCTTCTTGCGACCGATTCTGTCGGCAAAATAGCCGCCAAATATGGCGCCAATGATTGCGGCAGAGGGTGAGGAAGTTGTGGAAGCGCTCATCACTTGTGAGTGTCAAAGACATTGATATTTTGGAGATCCTTTCCGGGACTGGAGATGTGTTTCTCTTCCAAAGTCCTCACATAAATCACTCGATCAGTGAATCTGAAGATTGATTTGAGGAATGAATCGCGAACTGAGATATTGATGCCATTCATGAATGCGGACAATATTACTGCTACTAAACAGTATATCAAATGATTGGTTATTCCACAGCTTATCATATCTTTGATGGTTGGCTACACTTTGACAACGCCATTAAATGCCACAATTAGTGAACATATTTTACAAATATTATATAAAAATCCAATTAAAAACAATTAAAAATACAATATTAAAGTCAATATTTTATTTAATACTTAAAAACAAATATTTGACAATTTGTGTTATTTATATAAATATTTAACAGATATTTAGTTATAATTCCGGACAAAACATTTATATTAAACAATGATTAAATTAAAAACAATTTGATATATTGATTAAAACGAGTAATAAATTATATTTAAATATTTTAAGTTAAAACAGTTGTATTAAAAAAATGAGTAGTAATTTAGTTATGAAAACAAATGTTTAAAAAATACAAACAATGAAAATATAATAATAAAAGATTATTTGTTTGAAGTGTTGTTGTGATGATTGAAACCATTAGTTTGGACCCAAAGTGCCGTATAATTGGCCCGAATGTCGGCGACTGTCCAACGAGTGGGCGGAGGTGTGGCCGGAAACGTGTGGCGCCATTGAGTGCGCGGCCAACGAATGCCATCCATCCGCACGTCTCCCATCGTGTAGTCCGTGTGTCCGCCCGTCCACTCCTCCTCTTCGCCGCCATTCACTCCATCGTTGGGCACGTCTTCACTCATTTCCAAATCTATAGATAAAAATGATTAATAATTAAAATTAAAAACAAAATAATATTTAAATACTTACCAAATGTGACGACAATTTGCAACAAAGAGTTAACTCTTACTGTCTATGAGTGGACACATGTGTTGAACTTGTATTGCATACAACACATGAAATCATTTTTTAATGACTTATGCGGTCATAAATATAGTGACCAATAATTGTAATACAAATATAACGTTATATTACAAATAACTTAAACTTTAAGTAATTTAATAAAAAATAAAATAAAAGATTATAAAATACTTTTAAAATCACTTTAAAATACTTTTATAAATCATAACAACCACTGAATGAGTGCATCAGTTATAAGAAATACTTAAAGCACTTATCAATGATTGTACGGAATATAGTATTAAAATATTTCATAACAACCGGTAATAATCATAGTTATTAGTTGTGAGTGAATGAGCATGCTTATTTATCTATAATTTATTCACTAATTGTCAGATATGTACTAAATTATTGTTTTTACTTATATTATAAATGTATATAAAAGGGATAAAATATTTGTGTGTATTATAAAAATCATTATTTTCCAAAAAGTATTAAAACAATTTCAATCATGAATTTAACAATGGTTTTACAACTTTTTGGAATTGTATTTGTTATAAACCTATTTTATAGGTATATTTAACCATTTTACATTACATTTATTAATTATTAAATAATAATTTAGTTTTATTTAACAGATTTTTAAGCCGAAAATTAAATTACTGGTCCGTTCGGGGAGTGAATGGCCCGAAACCGGTGCCTATTTTTGGTAATGTATTGCAACTGTTTGTAAAGCCCCGACCACTCGTCGAAAAGGAATGGATTCACAAATACGGCAAAATCTATGGGTATTTAGGATTGAATTGAATATATGAAAGCAAAAAGTAATTAAAAGTATAAAAATAAAACAACAGATATTACGTGCAAAACAATCCCATCCTAACGATCGCCGAACCGGAACTCATAAAATTAGTTTTGGTTAAGAATTTTCATTTGTTTGCCGATCGGCGACACGAAGAGTCGTCGGATCCCATAATTGACAACTCGTTGACAAACTTATTGGGCGATGACTGGAAGAGAGTCCGATCGATAGTGAGTCCGACCTTCAGTTCGGGTAAAATGCGGAAAATGTATCCAATGGTCAGACAGTGTTTGACTGATTTCATGGACCACTTGGAAGTGATTGTCGGCGACGGCGAAGCGGTGGAAATCGATGTGAAACAAGTTTTTGGCAACTTTACGATGGATGTGATCACAACGTGTGCCTTCGCCACAAAGACTAACTCACATAAAGAGTTAAATAATCCGTTTGTGGTGAACGCCAAACGTATATTTAATATAAGTGCTCTTCAGTTGATTTCACTGATAGTTTTGCCAAACTTTGCGCTCAAATGGATTGAGAGCTCACCGATCAATACATTGCAGTTTCTCATTAAGAATGTGCGACAAATTCTGGCCAAACGGCGTCTCAATAAAGACGGCGATAAATACAATGATTTCGTTCAACTGATGGTCGATCTCCACAAAGACCCGCACATTAATGATAACGCCATCACTGATCCAAATGATGTCAACGAAGCGCATCACTTGAATGAAGGTATGGTTTTGTTGATTAATAATCAATTATACATCATATGTATTACATATAGAGTATTATGTTTTAAGTGTTAATTAATACTAATTAGGATTTATAATTAATTTTATGCAATCTTTATAAAAGGCGCCGAAGAATTGTTAGTCCAGAAGAAGGCATTGAATACAAGCAATAAATACATGTCGGATACGGAAATCCTGTCGCAGGCGTTGATGTTTCTGTTGGCCGGATATGAGACCACAGCCACCGCTCTGTCGGCCTCTTCTTACGAGTTGGCGCTCAACCCTTCAGTCCAACAAAAACTGTACGAAGAGATCACTGCAGCCATGGATGGCGACGGAGAGATCGGTTACGAAGAGTTGGCAAAACTGCCTTTTTTGGACGCATTTATGTCCGAAACGCTACGAATTCATTCGCCGGCCATTCGAGTGTCCCGATTGGCCGCCACTGACTTCAAACTCGGCGACACCGGTATTACCATCAAAAAGGATCAGATGATCGAAGTGCCCGTCTATGCCATCCATCACTGCGAAGACTTTTACCCGAATGCCGAGCAATTTGATCCAGATCGATTCATGCCCCACAATAGGCATAAAATAATTCCCTACACGTACTTACCGTTCGGCGCCGGACCTCGAAGTTGTATTGGTATGAGGTTTGCGTTAATGGAAGCCAAGTTAGGTTTGGCTCATATCGTTAGCAAATACCGATTCAGCGCCTGTACTCATACAGACGTACCCCTCAATTATAAGAGAGATCTTAAGATGACTTTCCCGAAGAGAATTGTCGTCGCCATTGAGAAGAGACGCTAACCTTAATGTTGTTTATTATAGTTATAATAGTTATTATTTTTACTTTTAATTTATAGTAAATCCAGTGATTATTAAAATGTTTTAATAAAACTTATTTTAATTGAAAAATTCTTTGATTTTTTAGGAAATAAATGTATCATAAATTCATTGCATTCCTATAAAAATATCTAATAATTAGTGTCGAGTAATCTATTATTTGTTTTGAATGAATGATTTTATTTTTAAAACATGGTCTTTGAGGTGAAAACTAATTTTAATTATGCAATAAAATACTAATTTAATATTAATTGTACTCAGGGCTTCGTTACCCCCCTCTCCTCAGTCCTTTCCCCCGATGAAATTTTGCTCACGTGTGATAGCACTGTAGTCGTAGTTGCACTGTTAAGCCTAGCATTCATCCCTGCCTTTGACAAGGCTTTANTTGACAAGGCTTTATATATAATGAAAAACAAGGTTTGATGTAAGTCAGCATAGCTATGAGTGCACAGCATATCACAGCATTGAGTGAGGGTACATGAGTAGCACAACTTTTCACACTATATACCACTTTTGTACCACAATTCTATCGCTTGTGGACGTCTAGCTTGAAAGCCTGATTGTACTACCAGTTGTTAAAATACCTTTTTAATACTGACATCTCGGGTATTTAAATCAAAATTAGGAACTATTTTTAACATGTTCGTATATTTAAAGTATTATTATCTAGTATATTTAAAATATTATGCAAATAATATAAATATAATACTGTCTGATTCAAAATTAATCGAGTAATAGCACAATTGATTAATAGGAAAATTAATATTAAATAATGTGCAATATAATATATTAACTTGTAAATAATTAATTTTTTTTATAACTTTTAAGCCACTTATAACAAGATTTTATCAAATGTTAACATAAATTATTGCAAAAATTGCCGCAAATATCTATTGATAGTGTGGCTAATAAATCTAGTTATTTATTATGCAAATAGTTGGCAAAACTACAGACAGTTGTGTACAGTATAATTAAAATTTAAATTTGTCAAACTAAACTTAATGATGTGATCGGACACAACAAGTCTAATGTTATTAACCGCTGTAAAATAATTTAATGTTATTTACCATAATAATAATAATATTTTTATCAGTAATATTATGTTAAAATTAAATGTGAGTCAAATGACATTTTGTGGACAATAATTTATATACAAAATTGAATTAAATAATTTGCTTTTATATATTGCTTTAGATATTATATTTTAGTTGTATTACTAATAATATATTATTATGTAGTTATTATACCATATATTCCTTTGATTTCACTCTAATAACGATAATAACAATCAATATTTATAATGAAATAGTTATACAAAACATAACAAAAAATATGTGCCCTATATTTGGTGCCCTAATAGCGATATACCGTTTTA